GCAGAGGCCAGGTGAAGAATCAGACCTGGGCTAGGAGGTGGGCTGAAGTTTTGAATTACATGTGAGATTGGAGTTTTGATTTAAATGAGTTTTTCATATCTACAAGGGAATAATCTATTTAAAATGAAATAGTTCTTATACTAGACAGTGTGAATGGAAAGTCACAGAATCTTATCTGTTCGTCAAGACGTCACGGAAAGGTGGGGAAGAGAAACCACAGCGTTGTTGAAGGAAGTGGTTGGGAGAAAACATCCACTTCCATTGGCCTGTCAAGCTCAGCTCCTTTGATGTGAACTCCTCACTGGCTTTCCTAATAAAACTTTATTCCCCAATGGCGATAACTAGCCAGGCTGAAGCAGCTCCCTGGCTTAGAAGGGTGGTGTGCTGCCCTGGCACTGTCACCGCATACCCACAGCTCACAGTGGCAGCCCCAACTCCTGTCTGCTGTGTGTCCTACCCTGCAGCACTGGAATTTAGTCTCTGCTCTGTCCCATTCCTCATCGTCTGGCGGGCAGAGGACCAGAGGAGATGAGTGACTTGTCTTAAGTCACATAGAAAAGTAGCAGAGCTGTATTCTAAAATCCAGAGCCTGAAAGTAAAGTCTAGGCATGAAAATGGCACACGATGGGTTCGGTTCTTTTTCCTTCAGCACACCGTTCACAGACAGCCTCGCCCACAGACCCCCAGAGGCTAAGGCAGGTGGGTGGGCAGGCCGGGAAAGTCGGAGGGGGTAGCCAGAGGCCAGCCCTGTTCCCTCCACCTCCCCACTCCTCACCCACTTGTTCGCTGCTTCCCACCCCCAGCGCACAGAGATGAAAGCCAGCGGCCTTCTCACTTTCTTCACTCTCCACTGAGCTGACTTTAATTGGAACAAAGCGGCTTATTCACAACCCATCTGTAACTTGGTGTCCAAGCAGAGGCTGGTCCGTGGGCAGTAACCAAGGGCCTCCGAATCCTTGCGTTTCTCCCCATTTCTGAACTCATTGTCTCCCCTTAAACCCCAAGAGGCCTGGGAAGCCCTGGGGCATTTCCTCTTGGGTTACAGGCCCTGGAGGGGAGGCAGAGAGGAGCCCGATCCATGAGAGGGGCAGACAGAACCCCCAAGCTCAGACAAATCCAGATCTAGAGCTTCTGCCTTGAATCTGAACAAAGGTGGCATCATTTGTCCCTAAGAAGGGACTGGGAACACTTTTCACCTTATACCCCCTTACACCTTTTGAATCCTGAATCTTGTGTATGAATCGTGTAAATCAAAGTTTAGCAATTGCTCCTGACCCTGAAGGCCAGGAGGGCACATAGCTGAGATGAGGGAAGGTCTGTGCTTTTAACCCCTTAATTCTGACATAACAGCTTCTGCTCAGTGGTTGTCTTGTTTTGATAGAAATGAGGGTGACAAAATGTCCAGGTAATTGATGCATTGTTGACAGGTTTTGCTGTGTTCCAAAGCCCCATCTATCCAGTGATGGGCAGAGGAGCGCTCTACCAGGCCGGAAAGGGACCATGCAGGGAGTGGCTTCACCCCGGGCTGGTGGTCAGGAACACGCACCTCCTTCTTCCTTGTTGAAAACAGAAAACATTTTTTGATTGCAGGTACCAGAAAAGCCTTTTTGGTATCCAAATTTAAACTTTGTCTATTTCTGACCTTCCTGCCCTTTCCAAAGACTCTTCTAAAAGCAATTCCTGTTTTGAAATGTTACGTAAGCCTCACTGATGCCAGTACCTTAGCCATTAAATTAAAAAAAAAATTCAGTTTTGAAGGGCGGTCATAACATGAAGCTAAGGGGTTCGTGATGAAGACAGTTCTGGCACAGCTAAGTTGGGTTTTTTTTGTAGAGACAGTCTCACTTTATTGCCCTTGGTAGAGTGCCGTGACATCACACAGCTCATAGCAACCTCCAATTCCTGGACCGAGGTGATTCTCCTGCTTCAGCCTCCCAAGCAGCTGGGAAAAACAGGCGCCCTCCACAATGCCCAGCCATTTTTTTGTTGCAGTTTGGCCAGGGCTGGGTTTGAACCTGCCACCCTTGGTACATGGGGCTGGAGCCCCACCCAGCTGAGCTCGTTTAAAGGGCATGGCACAGTACTGCCAAGAAAATTTTCTTTTTCAGGCTATAGTTTTCATTGTTGACCCTTGATTGTGTCTTCACCAAGGGTCAAAAAGCCTCAAGATCAAGCCTTTAGTACCTGAAAAATCCTAGTCCTCTTCTGAAATCATAAGCAACTTTAGCCTTGTATATACAAAGCAAACTGCTGAGGCAGAAACCAAAACATCAGCAGGAGCCCAGGCAGCTAAGGCTTCATCTAGGCAGGATGTGAAATGTCAGGCCATTAGTCTTATATTTTTACTGCAGCGGTTGCAAGATGGGAGTGATGTCGGGACAAACACAACACTGACTTTGGAGAATTGTTTTTTTTTCCAGGCTTCAATATGAACACCCACTCGCCAGGCTTGCTACACAGATTTCTAGAGTGAGCAGTATTTTCCCCTGGCCACCATTCCTTGGCTGTTAGGTGCAGAAAAGGTTTGGGTCAGTGCCACTCAGCACATGCCCAGGGCAGGGCCCTGTTTCTCCCTTGGCTGAAGAGCAGTCCTGTATTCACAGCCACTAAGGTGGAAAGCTCAGAGCTTACAACGAAATCAAAGACAAAAACTAAGCAACCAACATGAGACAGACGTAGGTATAATCTAACGTAAAGCATGATTAGGACACGGTGTTAGGTGGGTATTTGTATTTTTAGTGCACTGGTGTATAAGGATCTCGAGATTTTTCTGTACGAAAATTTTGGTTACAAATTACATTCCCCATATAATTTATTCAAACATTTAAACCCCCAAATTCTAGTAGGTGAGGCAGTTCAAAGGATGCAGGGGCTGCCCTGACTAGAGAGATAACCTCAATGTCCTCCAAGAGGCTGTTACAGTGGGGAGAAATACTTATATGTTGGTGCTGCTCCCTTCACCCTAATACCTACTTGAAAACATTCTAACATTCGAATGAGAGTAAGCTCAATGCTGGAAGGGGTAAAAATCTACGAGCTGAATACTACCCAGAGCCCTACATCATGGGGAAACCAAAGTCTCTGCATTTGCAACCTCACTGCGGCCAACAGTTCAGATGGACTTCTTAGGAATTCTGGGAGGACAGAGATCAAGCTGTAAACCCCAAATGCAAGTATTCAGGTATTATGGCCTTCCAGCTTTGGGTTCTCCAATCCTCTTCCTGGAATTCTTGGGCGCTCTTCCCTTTATTCTCATTTGCTTCTCCACTTCCAAAGGAGCAAACACTGAAGGGCGTCATCACAGGTAGTGCAAGAACCTCCTTTTCTCTACTTACCTAAAACAAGCCCGCACATCCCATCAGGGAGACTGCAGCTTCAAGAAGAAAAGTTAAATCTCACAAACACGCATGGTTCTACTCAAACTATAAGCTTTTATTATATTTTACAGATCATTCATCCAAGATATGCTGGATCTACGATTGGCATTGTCTCATTTTTGAAATGACAGAATGCACATGCAAATCTCTTGCCCATGCTGGACTCGTCTGCCCTGCAGAGAAGAGTTCTCATCTAGTGCAACTTGAATGTGAACTTGGCTCAGGCAACAGCAGCGCCCTCCTGAGTCTGAGCTGCCACAGACTGGAGTCAAGTGGGTTGAGACTGAAATTTAGTTTGGGCTTTTAAGTTTTTGATGTTCTATTCTTTGATTATAGTTGGGTCTATTTTTAGTCTACTTTAAAATCAAAGGCTGCCTACTCTATTATGATCATCTTGAATACAGAAATGTTACTCACATGCTGTTCTTCAAACAAAGGAAAAGGCTTCAATATTACTGTTGAGGAGAGACTGGAAAATTGCTCCATTTCTCCTTCTGCTGCCCTGCTCAGTTTGCCCCATAACCAGTTCCAGCTCAGGGAACACACTCTCCTCCCAGGTAGATGCAAACACAGTGTGGGAAAGAACCGGAGGCTGCAGCTGTCCTCTCCCCGGCTCTGCTGCGTGTGGCTCACACCGTCTCTGGGGTGGGGGTGGGAGTATCAGCCCTGAAGTCAAAAGGCTCACTGAAATCTATGATAGTGAAGGGGCTCAACTAAAAGCCTGTCACCGCTTATGTCAAAACCTTCAGTATCTTGGTCAGTTTCTCAATATCCGTTTCAGCACAAGCACTGTGACAAACTTCTCTTGCCCCATGTGGCCCTAGACAAACAAAGCTAGGTGGGAAATGCGAAGTCTAAAGCTATCGGAGTGCAACAACAGAGCAGAGTTTGTGAAACAAATTAAATGAAACTAGGACAACATGAGAGACAGGGTTGGCAAGGTGACTCAGTTTCACTGAGAAACCCTCAGGATGCAAAAATTTGATCAAGGGCATACACAATTCATAAAAATAGCAACAATTTGGAATTTTCCTTCAAACGTTTGGGAAACATGCCAATGGCAAGAAATGAGATGACTTCAATTGCAATAGTTTGACCTGTCAACAATGAACTTTTTTTTTTTTTTGAGGACATAAAAGAGTTGTTACTTCCCGGGTACCAAAACACATAGGCAGAGGTGGGGGGAAAAATCTGCATAGAACAGCTGAAAAGGTTGAAAAGCTAGGAATTCAGCACAGAGAACCCAGCAGAGAGGCCCTGACATTTTAAAACACTGTAAGCTGAAAGTGATGAAATGTTTTAGATTGGACCCCAGAATCTCTTGTACTACAGTAAAAATATATACTCCAAAATTATCAACATGTCTTGCAATGTAGAGCACAACGTCCCCAAATGCGGTGCCCGCCACAGAGTGCTCAGGGTCACCAGGCTGAGGGATCCCTATAGCAACCATCCATCAAGAGTGCTTCTGCCCCAGGGAACTGGAGAAAAGAGGAACTTATCAGGGGAGGAAGATGATGCCCCCAACAGAACCTGATATACCTGATACATGAGGTTTCTTACAGCAAGATAGCCTTCAAAACCAGCTTGTCTACGGAGCTGCCCTCTCATTCATCAATGTCCTTCCAGATAAAAAATGATCTTTATTGTAACTTTTAACTACAGCACTTCAGGCTGCACATTATTGTACACACACACAAAATCATCACTGTCTCGGGAGTTGTCTTCCAGATCCCCTCAAAATTTGACCAATGAGTTACGCCTTAAGGAATTTTCCAGTTCAACCCCACACACCAACTTGGAATACGTGGAAATACTAGTCTTGGTTTTACATGTAGTTCTAAAGTGCAATTACAGGTGGAATATTTGCTGAAGGAGACCACTTTTGCTGAGTTAGAACACAATTAATAAGAAAGCTGGACACGGAGTTCTGGGTGAGGTTTAAAATATCAATCTGTGTGTCCCCTGTCCTATAGGCTTTGCTCTTTCTCCTTGTTCTGTCCCTTTCTATAGGAGTTGCCTGACGTGCAGAATAAATATCCATTTTCTATTCAAAATCACACTGGCCAGTAGGTGATTCACAGGAACAGTAGTAATGTTATACAGTAAGATATTGTACTGATAATGAGAAATCTGAACTCTGGGGTCACAATTCAAAGTAATTACTATTTCAGGGGTAAGGGAAAAAAATTACTTGGCTGCCTAGTGAAAGGCTTCTTTCTAAAATCACAATTGCAATCTGGACTCTGTATCTCAAGACAAAACTGGGTAGCCTCTATCACCCAAATGATTGACAGGGCACTTCTTCCTCAAAGTTGTTGTACAGATACTTGGTGCTCAGGTAACAAATGTCACAAAGCCCACCCTTGATTAACACCAACAATTCCTTTAAATATGATGATACTAAGACGGAGACCCCCAGTGGGAGAAAGCAAGGTTGTGAAAGCCGAGACAAGCTAAGAGCAGAGGATCGCTACCCTAACAGATTCAGGCGACAGGATGCAACCGTGAATACTGAAGCCAGTAATCTGAAAATATCACTCATCTTCAACCCATATGCCTTTTTTTCAATCAGGAAATCAGGGACGGGAGAACATTTGCATGTATTGCCCACCAACACGTTCTTCTTAACAGAAGATATTTTGAGACTATGAAAGTCGTTTTAAGACATCTGTTTTCAGGGATAGACCATAGCCACAGACATACTTCTCAGAGTTGGTTTCTTCCAACGTCTATCTCAAGAACAAGGGCAGCCAGCTTTCATGAGATACGGAGACATGTTCTGGCAAACATATTTTTCGCTTTCCTTAAGTTATATACTGTCAAGCTCAACTATTTTTTATGTATCTGATCCTTTTCTGTCAGCAAAAAAGGAATCATTTTTTCTTAACACTCCAAAATCAAGAATATCTGTGTAGAATGAAGGTTGAACTTGGGTTGATTTTATAATTTAGAATATAGATGAAATCAAAAGGTCTCCAATGGCCTCCATAGCCCCATCTTTCAAAGGTCCTTTTCTTCTTTCACATAAATTCATCTGAATCATTGCCGTCCTGTAGGAAGCAAAAAAGTGACACTATAATACGATTGAAAACCAGTACAAAGTGGTTTCAACTGTGCATGTAATAGGTTGTTTTTTAAAATCCAAAGCAGATATGATAAAATGTTAAAATGCATGCCTGTATAGACATTGATGTCTGCTAAATTATTCTCTATGTTTAAGGTATTTCATAAAATATTTTTAAAGATTAAAAAGTGACACTATTTAAAATTTATAATTATAATCTTACCTAGTCTCCAAGTTCAGAAAGTAAAAAACACATTCACAAAAACCCACTCTTCACTTCTTCATCATCTTAAATCGTCAGTTCCCTGGAATGGCTGGATCAGCCACTCTATTCTCTGAGGTGTCATTACATGGCCTAATTATACAACAACCAGTGACCAATGATTTCTAAGGTATGAGGTCAGTCCCACCTGATTTGGTATAGTACTGAGTGTGACTACATAGGAAAACATGATTGATCCTAAATAAACACTGTCTTAATAGCCTTGTGCCAACAATGCTGCCAAATATGCAAAATATTTCTGGCCTAAAGTCCAGTATTTTGAGCCTCAAGGTTGTCACAGATGTATGACTTCACAAGATGGCCTTTTTTTTTTTTAAATAGGGAAAGTCATTAGGACAGTAAAAATATGTTAGCTAACTGCACAAAGAGCAGGCTAATGACTGTTTATTTCCAGGCACCAGGACTGTGAGCGCCCAGAGTCCCAAGCTGCAATAAAAGCAGTAGTGACGTTTAAAAGACTCAACATCTAGTATCTTCAAATGCCAGCGTTAGATCCCAACACAGAGGATGAGCAACTCAGTGGGACAGTCTGGGTCATTAACAACGGAAGTCTATCATTCTCTATATAGGCTGTTTAGATTTGCAAAGAATTTTCATTTGACTTATGCTTTGGGATTACAGTAACTTTTAAATACATATCTGAGATGAAGCCTTTATTTGCACAATTTTTCTATTTTAGATTTCCTTTATTTTCAGAGTCAGTATTTTTTCAACATTTTTTCACCCACCGGTAAACTGATAAGCAAAAGGAAAGTTAAAGATAACTGTTCACATCTTTTGTAACAATCCAGATAGAACTGGAGACCATTCTTCTCAGTAAAGTATGGCAAGAATGGAGAAACAAACGCCACATGCACCCAGGAGCCACTGAGAACTAGCTGATCAACACTACGTGCACTCTAGGGAATAAAGTAGGTGGGGTGCGGGTTAATCCACGACTAAACGGTACAATGCACACAGCGTGGGCGAAGGGTACACTCACAATTCTGACTTAAAAAGCACATTATGGGCTCGGCGCCTGTGGCTTAACCGGCTAAGGCGCCAGCCACGTACACCTAAGGCGGCGGGTTCGAATCCCCAGCCTGGACCCGCCAAACAACAATGACGGCTGCAACCAAAAAATAGCCAGGCATTGTGGCGGGCACCTGTGGTCCCAGCTACTTGGGAGGCGGAGGCAGGAGACTCGCTTGAGCCCAGGAGTTGGAGGTTGCTGTGAGCGTGATGCCATGGCACTCTACCCAGGGGGATAGCTTGAGGCTCCGTCTCAAAAAAAAAAAAAACAAAAAACAAAAAAACAAAAAACAAAAAAGCACATTATGTAACCTAAACACAGGTAACCCTGGAATACTCTGGGGAAAAAGGAAAAATAAGTGTTTATGGCTCCTGATATCAAATTTAAGAAGAAATTATAGATTGAAGAATATTATTCTAAACAGGAAAACAAAAATTAAATGTTAAAAGGATGAACTTGTGTAACCTAAATTAAGCATTAAGCATTATACACCTTTAGCTGAAAATCAATTGTTCATGCTGCCAAACTGGATCATAAAACCCCTGTATCCCTCAGAAGATGGCTCCAAAGAGAATTAAAGCCAATTCTTTCAACGTATAGAGGAAAACTCTAGGAGCTCTTGCACTGAAAGAGAAGAAAAACACCTAATAGAAAACTTCCTTAGAATCTTGAACCTGATTCAAAGCTAAAGCTCAGGAACAGAGAAAGCAAACAAGAGGTAGGGTCGAAATGTTTAGTAATCTTTTGGTCTACAAATTTCCTGGTCTTGGAACTTCTATTATAATGTTTGTCACTAATCAGACAGGTGTGTATGTGTGTGTGTGTGTATTTATTTCTCAACTCCAGAACAACATGCAAACTTCTAAAATCCATAATGATGAAGATAAATGTCTAAGGTCATAATGTGATATGAGGGCCAGACTTCTAGTGGAAAGTAGCCGCTATGACACAGAAAATTTCAATAAGCAACAATAACCCCAACAAAGACATCAGGTGTGTGGTATGTTAATGGCTTCTGTTAAACTGTTCTAATAGTTTCAAGAAACCTAAAAATAGTTTTCAGAAGGGATTAAATACATCTCATTTTTTTGATGTTGATACTTGTGGGGAAAAAAACAACCAAAGACTTTATGAATGAGGGACAGCAATGACCACTTACATAGTGATGAAGTCAAGGAAGGCTTTTTTAAAGATAGAGTTTATGTCATCCTCGGTAGAGTGCTGTGGCATCACAGCTTACAGCAACCTCAAACTCCAGGGCTCAACCAATTCTCTTGCCTCAGCCTTCCAAGTAGCTGGGACTACATACATCTGCCACAACGCCTGGCTATTTTTTGTTGTTATTGTTGTCATTGTTGTTTAGCAGTCTCAGGCCAAGTTTGAACCCACTAGCCTTGGTGTTTGTGGCCGGTGCTCTAAACACTAAGCTATAGGCGCCAAGCCAAGGAAGACTTTCAAATATGTGTTTTATAGCCTCATTTTACTGATGATGACTACTCCCTCAGAGAGGTTAAATACCTTTACTAGCCTTTCCCAATTACTGTTTGTTGAAGTCTCTAAACTAATTCAAAGCTCTATTTAATTACATACTGCTATTATAAAATTTTTCAGAAATAAATTATAAAGATACATCTCTGATTCATAAAGGAATCTCATGAGTTTAATTTTTCATGGAGATGGGAATACGAATACTGTTCTTATATATTTTTAGAAGGACATATAAACAAGGTCTAAAATCCTATTAACTCTTATTCAGGCATTCAATCTGGGGTTTGACTAGAAGACTTTCAAGAGATCTCAAATTCTGTTACAGTTAGCTCTCCATAGACTTGGGTTCAACATTCACAGATTCAACTGTGGATCAAAAATATTTGGGGAAAAAAAAATACACAATAAAAATACAAATTTAAAAAGACAGAGTATAACAAATATCTACATAGTATTTATACTGTGTTAGTATTATAAGTAATCTAGGCATGATTTAAAGTACATGGTAGGATTTATGTGGGTTATGTGCAAAATCTACTAAGCTGTATTCTGTGAGGAACCTAAGCATCTGTGTGTTCTGGTATCTAAGGGGGTCTTGGAACCACTCCTCCAAGGACACTGAGGGACAACTGTATTTTTAAACTATCCTATAAAACATGCGATATCCCAAATATATCCACCTGGTTTTAATTTTCAAAGACTATTCAATAACAAATAAATTATGCTATCTCTAGACATGTCAAAATAAGTTCCAGGAAAGACAGCTCTCAAGGACAGTAAGTTGACGACAGTTCCAATAAAATAATTATTACAGATGTAAAAAAGATCCTTTCGGTGCTAAGTTATGGGTCTCCATTTCTCTTTATCCCAGGGCCTGAGGATCACGAAAACAACCAATATTTTCACTTAAGCTGTAGTATAAGACCTTAGGGTGAGTACTTTTATTTTAATTAAAGGTGACAATGTTATCCTCAAGGACAATACAGAATCTACCATCACATTAATAAAGAACATTACTAAAGGTACTTTTGCATGCCTGCAACTAGACAAGAGGAAAAAGGAATGGAAGGGAAGTCCTGTAAAGACTAATACACATGAACTTCAAGTAGACAAGGAGTGACAATCCTTTTCCTTGAGCCGACCTACTTAAAAACACACTCGAAGTTTCCAGGAAAGGAGGGCCAATGCCTAACAGAACCCAGCCTGAGTAAATGAACTGCCAAATCACAGCAAGGAATTTGCAACGTAAAAGTCAATAATGGCCAATTACACGATTATTAATATTGCTTAGTGAACTACTTAAAGGCAAACATTAGAGCAAGTTAATTTAAACGTACCTGATTTGATGACATATTTTCAACTTTCATTAGTGACGAATAGCTCCTGAAAGAAAAAAAAAGCACATTTAAAATAAGGTTATGTAGCCAACAAGTATTTCACGGTTTACCACAAATCTAGTAATGCTGAGGGGCTTTAAAAGAAACATAAGAGCTATGAGTTATAATCTCTATTCTCATCTGCAGCATTAAAAGAACAAATATCTATGAACAGTAAATAAGATCTGTGCAGACCCTCAGAGTTTACAAAGTGCTTTCTCCTACTTGTTTCATGTCACCACCACAGTAACGTTGTGAGGGAGGTGGCATTATTCCTGTTTTTCAGATGAGGAAATGCACCTACAGCCAAGATCTGAGGAATACAGCCCATTGTAAGTGCTACAGGAATTCAGAGGAGGAAACCCAGCAGAGTGGGCAGAAACTCAGGGGGCACCCTTCACTGACAGATGGAACACAAACCACGCGAGGCAAGTGGGAAGGATGCGTGAGGGAGGCATTTCAGATCCAGAGAACGGGATGAGCAAAGCCGAAGAGACAGAATCTATAATGACAGGCCGAAGGTCAAGCTACTCAAGTGGATTCTAGAGGTAAAGTAGTGGGAAATAGGGCAGGATGCAGGGCCCAGCTACACTGCCCTGGCTACGGGAGTGAACACTACTTGTTCAGCAAGAAGCTCCAATGTGTGACTGAGCAAAGACATCAGGCTTGATGGGCATTTATTAAGCATCCGTGATGTACGAGACCCTGTGCTAAGCGTGGGTGGAAGACAGGATGAGAAAAAAAACAGAAAACGGTGAACACAAAGCTTAACCCCTAAGAACTTACTAGGAGGGAAAATGAGACTTCTTCAACAGTAGCTATGGTAAAAAAATACACTTTAAAAGTACTATTAAAAGTGCAGTTTTTAATATGAGCAAACGGAGAGGTGAGGGGAGGGTTAAGGCAAGTAGATGAGTTAGCAACACCAGTATTTACCATTTACGGTATCCTTAAGTGACCAGGAACTATGTTAAGTGCTGCACACATGAAATTACTGCTAATTCCCATAACCACCTTACAGGGCAAGAAGAATTTTAGGCCCACTGTACACATAAAAAAGCAGAGTTGGGAAAGTTACGTAAGTTGCCAATCAAGGTCTTAGCAATAACAGAGGAGAGGCTACCAGGTCTGACTCCTAAACTCACACTCTCAACCGATGGCAGCATCCCAATCCAAGGCCAGGAGTCCATGGGGTTAGCAGCTGTAACAGCTGTAACAGAAGGGTTCCCTGAGAAGAATCAACAATGATGTCAAAGTTTCTAGCTTGAGAGTTGAAAAAAGTAAGAAATGGGGAGCTATTCCATTTGAAGCCATGGTGAGACAGCCAAGCAAATATGAATTCTGGAAACTGAAAACTGAAGACCCAGAGGGAAGGAGAATGGGCAAGGTGACAGATAGGAGGTGGGAGACAAGCAGAGAGAGAAAGAGAGAGAGGGGGAGGGAGGTAGAGGGTGACAGAGGGAGGGAGAGGGTGAGTGAGAGAGAGAGAGAGAGGGAGGGAGGGGGGAGGGAGAGGGAGAGGGAGGGAGGAAGGGAGGAGGGAGGAAGAGAGATTCGCTGAAGCTTGTGAGAGTGTGTGGTACCCACAGGAATCAACAAAACAGGCAAGGTCCACAGCACACAGGAGAAGAGGAGGACAGGCTGACAGGCTGTCTCCAACCACACGCTAGGACACGTCAGTTCCGTGGTTAGAGATGATACAGTTGATTCTGTGGTTAGAGCAGAGAAGCTTAATTTTAAATCACCTCTGACGATTAAAATACATTCAGATGCCCAGCTGTGGGGATCTACAACCCAGCTCAAAGAACCACTGGGTTGGAACTCCTACCTATATGAAAATAACACACAAATTTACCTTTTTTTTAGGCTACTCGTTTCCTGAGCTCCATTCCATTAATCCAACAGCCTCCCTGACATCTTTTTGAACACCTCAAAGGTATTTTCAGACTATCATGTCCAACTCATGCCCCTGCCCCGAAACTAGTTTGGTTCTTTTCAAGTGTCCTTAGCTCAGATAATGGCATCAACATTCACTCTGTTCAAACTGGGAACTCAGGAGTCCTCCTTAACTTCCTTTCTCTGACTCCTCCACTCAATCCAATCTACTACCAAATCCCATCATTTTACCTATAAAATCACCTCTCACCATCATTTGATGTAAACTGCCACCAGCTTCCTTAAGGGGCTTTTGTCTGCACCCATGGTGGTTCCCTTTGTGATTAGGTTAGCAGAGTGACCTTCCCCAAACTCAACCCTCGTTGTACTACCCCTTCCGTAAAACCTTTTGACTCCGCAGTGCTCTTAGAATAAAGCCACATGTGGCCAACAAGGGCCTGATTGAAGCACCCTCTCACACCTGCTGCTCCAGGCACTTGGGCCCTCAGTCCTGTGTGTCGTCTTTCTGTCCCCACACAGGATTTTTGCACACACAGTTCCCTTTGCTTAAAAGCATTCCTTCCCTGCTCCCTTTTAACCCAGCATAGGTTTCTTTCTTTTTTTTTTGAACAGAGTTTTGCTCTGTCATCCAGGGGTGGAATAATACAGCAGCCCAAACATAGCTCACCGAAACCTTGAAATCCTTGGCTCGAGTGATCCTCCCACCTCAGTCTCCCAAGTAGCTAGAACTACAGGTGCATGCCACCATGCCCAATGTGGAGATGGGACATGATGGTACACACCTTGCTATGTTGTTCAGGCTGATCTTGAACTCCTGGCTTCAGTGATCCTATTGCCTCAGGCTCCCCACATACTGGAATTACAGGCACAAGCCACCATGCCTAGCCCACTGGCAGAGTTTTGATTTCAGCTTCAAGAATCATCCTATCAGCAAAGTGAATCTCAGTTACCCATGCATTTATGATATATTGACTGTTCCCTCATCACATGACTACTTACTCATGTGATGAGTATTCTCAAGTAAGAGAATACAAGATTAAAACAAAGCAGGTAACAGGCATTGATTTCAATCTCTTGGATGGAAGATTCAAAGACAGAAATTAACATGATGCTAACCAATACAAATGAATAAAAACAGATTACAACATATGTCAGAAGCTTATAGCCTATTGTTGGAATTTCATAGAAGCTGCAGAATCTAGCAGGCAGTCACAGCTCTGGACACGCCAAGCAAATTCTTGCTATGTCACTGTGTCCCATTCCTGGCACCACAGCCCTTTGTCACATTCTTCTATCTTTTGTAGCATGTGACAGAGAGTTGTCTGTGTGGAATATGATTAACAGAAATAAACACAGCAACTGTTTTTGGTTTTCTGAGGCTCATGATGATCACTAAAAAACGCAAGTGACTAGTGACAGCGTAAAAAATGGGACTGATTAAACTTTTCATTCAATAAGATTTAGAATAACCCCCTCCCTAGTTCACATGAATATTTAATATGTTGTTGACATTACAGAAGAAAATCCAGAAGATATGAAAACTCCATTGGTTGATGGTTCTTTTGTTTATAAGCTTGCAACTTTTGAAATAGTAAAATCATACCAAATGCCTTACATTTTAGTAACATATAGGTTACTTTGAATAACATTTATCAATTACTTGATTGATTTACAGTGAATAACTTTAAAACTGAATAGACTGAACAGAGGGCAGAAGAGTATACTAATGTATGAAGATGTAAGAATTATCAGGGACCACACCTACGGTGCATCTTACAAGGGGACATGTGAAACTTACTAAATGTAGAATATAAATGTCTTAACACAATAACTAAGAAAATGCCATGAAGGCTATGTTAACCAGTTTGATGAAAATATTTCAAATTGTATATAAAACCAGCATATCATAGCCCATGACTGCTTTAATGTACACAGCAATGATTTAATAATAAAAAAAAAGAATTAGACTATCAATGTGACTTAGGCTACTTCTCAGACTGATTCCTCCTCCATAAAATGCAAATACAAATCTGACATGCCTATTGTTAGGATTAAATGAGATAATGCAATGAAACACTTTTGGTACAGTATGTGGCAGATGGTAAATGTTAAAAAATGTTAGCTATTCTTCTTTACTAAATGTCATACATGAGTAAATTAAGTGATATGTTTCTACATATAACAGCACGTTCCTAAGCGAAATCATGTTGGATCTATAAAGGGCACAAAAAGGTGTGTTTTCAATTTTCCCCTACTCCAAATAAAAAACAAAGAAGAATTAACAGCTCTAAAGTCCTGCATCACTCACAATTACACAAATCTTAACCACACTGATGGAGCTGATAATTTTTCTTTCACTCTCAATACAAAGGAAACTCATAAATTCTAGCCCATATCAAATATTTAAGTCTAGGCGTTCGTCTGCCTCATGTTAGCAGATTACAATTCAGGTTAACATTCTGGTGCTCTCCATTTGAATACCACATTTTAAATGAAGCTACTCATCTATCTTAGCAGAACCCCAACAGAAACAAGAGCACGTGGATCACAAGTAAGTAACAGCACGTGATTATAATACCTACGGTCTGACCTGACAACTTCTAAGAACCCAGGGTACTCTTCATCAAGACATGACAAGACAGCTTATTTGATTCTATGCCAATCTGAAGGCAGTATGTTTAATCAGGAATACTGTTATCTTTGGGCTGGGAGCAGTGGCTCATGCCTGTAATCCTAGCACTAAGGAAGGCTGAGGCAGGTGGACTGGCTGAGCTCACAGGTTTGAGACCAGCCTAAGCCAGAGCAAGACCCCATCTCTAAAAAAATAGCCAGGTATTGTGGTGGGCACCTGTAGTCCCAGCTACTTGGGAGGCTGAGGCAAGAGAACTGCTTGAACCCAAGAATTGGAGGTTGCTGTGAGCTATGAGGCCACAGTACTCTAACAAGGGCAACAAAATGAGTTTCTGTCTCAAAAAACAAAACAAATGGTACTGGTGGGAAAATTTACAAGTTCTATGACTATAAACTTTAATTTAGTTAGAAAAACTAGATGCTGTTTAGGCCTAGCACTACCTATTTTATACAGATTTAGTGTGGCAGTCAGAATGACACCATCTCTTACCCCCAACCCAGGATGCCCACATCTTAGCCTCGAGAACCAGTAAGTATGTCACCTGTTATGCCAAAATCAACTCTGCAGATGTCATTAAAGGCCTTAAGCTGGGGAGATTGTTGCAGACAATCTAATCTAATCACATTGCTCTTTCATGATGGAGGAGGCAGGGGTCACTGAGGGGTCTGTGACTATGAAATGCAGTGTCACTGGCTTTGAAGATGGAGGAAGGGGTCATAAGTCATGGAATGTGGGCAGCCTCTAGAAGCTGCAAAAGGAAAGAGACTCTCCCCTAGATCATCCATAAAGGAAAACATTCCTGCTGACAATGACTGTAGCCCAGTGAGAGCCTTACTTGCCTTCTGAGTATAGGACTATGAGATGATAAATCTGTGTTGTTTTTTTTTTTTTTGAGACAGTCTCATTATATTACCTTTGCTAGAGTGCTGTGACACCACAGCAACCTCAAACTCTTGGGCTTAAGCCATTCTCTTGTCTCAGCCTCTCAAGTAGCTGGGACTACAGGCACTTGCCATAATGTCCAGCTATTCTGGTGGTTGTTGTCATTGTTTAGCAGGTTGGGGCTGGGTTCAAACCCACCGGCCCCACTGTATGTGGCTGGTGCCCTAACCACTGAGCTACGGGCACTGAGCCAAATCTGTATTGTTTTAAACCACTAAATTTGGGGTAATTTGTTTCAGGAGCAATAGAAAACTAATGTGTAGTCTGTACGCTTATGGCCTTATTCGTTAGAATTTGAAGAACAAAACTATTTTAACCATTTACTATTTAAAAATGAAGTACTTTGGAGTAGGCCTTACTGTATTAATTAAACTTTTAAAATGTAGAAAATTGGTTTCAAAAACAGCTTTGAGAGTTACTAAAAACAGCTCTGAGTGTTGGCCTTTAGAGACAGCTTTATTCAAATAGCAAAGCGAGTCAATATAAAATACTTATTAGGGCATCTTTTCCTGTCCTGAAGAATTAACTTGACAAGCTTGACTTTAAGAAAAGATAACCCATGAAAGCTTATCTGAGAATAAAATTATTTTGTTGCACATACTCTCATATGCTACCCCTATAAATGAGCAATTCATTTGAGCAAGCACCTTAATACAAATGCCTTTTTATCTGAACCAATTTAAGTCTCTGAGCTTGTGATATGTTCCTCTTTACACTGATATGTTATTCCTAAGGGTTGATCCATGATTAAAATCAGCAGAAAACAGTCTTGGAGGTCAATCTCACACCGTCGTTCCAACATACCTAAGTTCATCCATTTCCCTCTTCTTCTTCATTTCTTCTTTTTCTTTCCTTTTCATTTCCTGAATTTGGGCTTTTTTCTCATTCCTCTCCTCCCGGTCTCTGCACTCCTTCTCTGCTGCCAGATCTGGGAATCGCTCTATTTTGGTCTTTTCTAATCTGTTCAGGATCTCATTTACTTTCTTCTCCACTGTCACAATTTTTACCTTTGAGAGAGAGGGGGGAAAAATATGGCATCTTTATTTTTGTTTTTCTCCCAGAAGAGGAACAAGGCTTTCCGGGGGTTTAGCAACCCAGTTTAATTCCCTTTAGAAAACATACATCATGCTCAGCCCTCAACAACAATGGTGTCAGACAGGAAAGATGGATAGGACACTTCAGTCAGTGTCCGGACTCTGCCGCCTCCAGTGGTGTCACTTACATCCTTCTGCCTGTGAAAGCCTATCTGCCCCACATCCATGTCAGCTGTTTTCTTCAGGTTAGACCACGGCGTATATACCACATTAACGTTGTTCATCTTGCAGCCTGCCAAGAGAGACTGTCTTCAACATGCAGGCAGGAGGAGACTGAGCAATGTGTTCCCTTACCCACTGGCAAATCACCAAAATCCAAAAAGGGAAATGGCTTCCAACGAACAAGCCACCCATTGTTTCAAACCAAATACTTTTCCAAAAACCACCCACAAAAGGCAAATGGTAGAGCTGGCAATAAACAAAATGCAAACGAAAGTTTTTGGGGTTTTTTGAGGCAGAGTCTCAGTATGTTGCCCTTGGTAGAGTGCCATGGTGTCACAGTTCACAGCAACTTCCAGCTCTTGGGCTTAGGCGATTCTCTTGCCTTAGCCTCCCGAGTAGCCAGGACTACAGCAAACAAAAGTATTATAATGGAAAGCCGGAGTGCATGGATTAGCTCCAGGGACTTTGGAGAACTCCCTAAAAGTGGATGCAAAATTTACTGGGTATAGTTTTTCAAGAGAAAAGGACTAATTATGTTTCCTCAGGTTCTCAAAGGAGTCTTCAACTCAATAAAGGTTAAACAGCAAGAGGAAATCATGGCCTACGATTCAGGAGATGTGGCCGCTATTTGGACCCTACAATAAACACTCTGGGCCACTCTCGGAAAGTCCCTGCAGCTCTTTGAATCACATATGAAACACCAGGAAATTGGACTGGTTTAATAGCAGCACTGTTTTTTTTTAGCAGTGAAACCCTTTTAACAAAGAAAACATACAAGCCATCAAAGGAGAGATGCTCAGTGAAAGGGGTGCTGGGTGCCCTGGTCATCTCTCCTGTCCCCTCACACCACCTCCACCACGCATGTGCCCTCAGGCCACAGCTGCCTCCCAGGCAGCTCTGAGATTGACAGTTTAAATATTGGTCTGATGTGTTCAAATGAGATGGCAGAAGATGCCCATGTTTATTAAATCCCCATGCACATTAGAGAAAGCTGGCGACCACCTCCTTGCCCAAAATTAATGTCTCCAAAAAATGGGGCAAAAAAAATCACACCACGTGCCTCCTGACTAATGTGCAAAACTTCACGTACTCGTTCCTATGTAGTATTCCTGCCCAAAAATGCATAAGAGGATTCTGATCAAGGGGCAGCATCAGAAAAACCCAAACTGCAGGACACTCCACAACTCGTCTTTCTGCACCCCCTTCTTTCTTTTTTCGAACCTTGAAAAGCAGTCTCTGAAAGTTTAATCCTGGGCAGGGTGGCCCAAGGCAGCCTCTGACCCCATAGGCAAGTTTGCTTCATTAACTCTGGGGCCTTTGCCCCCACTGGGCTGAGCTGGGGCAATGGTTTTTGAAAGATAAAGTATCAAAGTTTCGAAAGATAAAGCAGCATCTCTAGATTCAAGGGGACTAAAGAGAAGTGACAAGTAAATACAGAGCATGATCCTGGACCAGAAGAAAGGAAATGCTATAAGGGACAACTGTAAAACGTAAATATGGGCTGTGCATCAGATACCAGTATTCAAGCCGTGTTACATTTCCTGAATTTAATGACAGCTCCTACTGAAGATAACGTCCTTGTTCTTAGGAAATACAGGTTGAAGGACCATGATATTTACGATTTTCTTTCAGGTGGTTCAGCTAAAAAAGTTAAAAAGCATGCTACATATAGAGGGAAAGCAAATATGTAAAAATTACAAACTGGAGAATCTACTATAAATTAGATATGGTAGGTGTATTTTTCCTGCCAACTTTTCTGTATGTTTGAAAGGTTTTTACAAAATAAAGTTTAAAAAAAAAAGTTTATATAACTCAGCGCTCACAGCACAGTGGCTACGGTGCCAGCCACATACACCAAAGTTGGCAGGTTCAAACCCAGCCCAGGCAAGCTAACCAACAATAACAACTGCAAGAAAAAATAGCCAGGCATGTGGTGGGCGCTATAGTCCCAGCTGCTTGGGAGGGTGAAGCAAATGTTTGAGTCCAAGAGTTTGAGGTTGCTGTGAGCTGTGATGCTGTGAGTGTGTTGCAATCTACTGAGGGCAACAAAGTGAGTATCTCAAAAAAAAAAAATAAAGTCTATATGCCAGACACCTAGGTCATGCATACAGGATGAGGCTATGAACCCTGCCTCCCAAGATGCTAAAAGAGGGGAGATAAATACACAAATAACTTCACATAAAAGGAGAACCCATTAAATGCTGTTGGAAAGATACAGGTAAAGTGCTAAAGTACAAAGCCACAGGGGCGCTCAGAGCTGGGGAAGGAAAAGCCTTCATGGAAGAGCGTAAAGGGCTCAGCAGTTAATACAGAGCACTGCAGAGTCAGGCGGTCTGATTCAAACCCAGTCTCTAGTATACTTCAGAGCTCTGAAAGCTTAGGCAAGTTCCTCAACTCTCTGTAAGCTTATTTTCCTCCTCTATAAAATGAAAATAATAATATCATCAAACTCAATAGGGTTGAAAAATAACTTATAAATTAAGTTTTAAGCACAGGGCCCAGCATGTCATCAACATCCCATCAGTGTTATCAGTTATCACTACAACCATTCCGTGGACTTGAACCTCAGCTTGGATCTAGGCCTGCAGTGACTGAGGACCAACCAGAGGGCAGAGAAAGCAATATACACAAAGGTACAAGGCTGGAAACACCAAATATTTACTTTGGCAGGAGTAAAATATGCATAGGGAAAGAAGTCTATAGTCAGGTCAGAGATGCTTAATGGCCAGCTTCAGAAGTTTGGATTGAAAGTATAGGCCAAGGGGAGTTACAGAGTTTCTAAACTTCTAGAAAGTTTAGTCCTGGTAAGATTCACTGGGTGAATATAGAATAGGCTGATTCTATGATAACAGATACGTTTAACCCCTGCTCCCCTGGTTCTGAGGGCTGATGGTAGCCAGCTAGGAAGGAATGTTTCCTAACTGGACAGTGTCTTCTACCAATCTCACAGCAAAGACTATGTGCTTCACTCTTTTGCACATCCTTTCCTATTCACTCACGAGAGTAAGGCCCTTTGGCTGAAAGGTCCTTATTTTGCTGGTGTCCCATGGAACCTTCTAACTGTGGAAGGATGAAGGGGAAAGAAAAGAGTAATTCGGTCTCGTGACTCTTCCTTCCTCTTTCTGTTTTCTCTAGAACTAGTAAACTATAAAGAGATTAAGAAGAAAGAGACTGGCTGGTGTGGTTGCTCATGTCACCCTGAGCAAGAGTGAGATGCTGTCTCTGCTAAAAGTAGAAAAACTAGTTGGGTGCACTGTGGTGCGTGCCTGTAGTCCCCGCTGCTTGGGAGGCTGAGGTAAGAGGATCACTTGCATCCAAGAGTTTGAGGTTGCTATGAACTATGATGCCACAGCACTCTATCCAGGATGACAAAGTAACACTCTGCCTCAAAAAAAAAAAAAAAAAAAAAGAATAAGAAGAGGCAGGGCCAAGAATAAAGAGTCTTTTCACAAAGGCACACCGGCCAGCCTGGGGTGCACGGGAAGGGATGCGGACATGTGCAGGAAGTTGGAACACAGAAAAAAGGAAGATACTGATTATTTCAATTCTTATTTTCTATTTCATAAATAACTGAATTTCTCAACCAAAATCTTAAATCCTCCTCTACTTATAAAATGGAATTTTCTTAAATCCATTACAATTGCTTGATTTACAGGTGAAAAAAAGAGGGGCTCTAAAGACGCTCCACCTTCTTATGCTATAAGCACCTGATTCCTTATTAAGATACGAGAAACACAGTCACCAGGGAAAGGGGTACGCCGCTCAGCTCCTGTGTTATAATTGCCTCCCCCCGGTACCTGTTATCAGATATGGGCCTGCTGCATATTTAACTTCTTCCCAAACCACATGTCTTTCCAACCCTCTGACCATTACTAAACTGCGTATCAAACCACAATTACCCCTATTCTATCTAGGTCTACACCTAAAATCCAATCCATTGGCTCATTCAAGAGAGTACTACGTCCTGGCTACCACTCTTAACCACCACCTTCACCCCAATAATCATCCATCTTGACCTTTAATGACTATTAGATTATATCCTGTATAGCAGAAATAAATAAGCACCAAGCATAGTCTGCCAGGCCCTACCTGAAACCCTGAGGCCAACTGTGCTCAACCCACACTGCACATTAGACTCACTTGGAGAGCTCTTTAAAAACTGATACTCAGGGACCACCCCAGACCAATTGAATAAGATTCTCTGGAGGGTAACGAGATCAGCTAACTTGATACCTGTACATTTTAAGAGAGGGAAAAAGTATGTAAAAGGGAGGAGATAAAGAAAATGTAGAAAAATATGATTCAGAGACTAATTCTACAAACTAATGACAAATACTAGAAATAAAGACATCAAACAACATTAAAATGAAACCCCGAGACACATCTCTCTTGCTTAGCTATCAACATTACCAAATTTCCAAAAGTCTCTTTACCAATGATCTCAGGGTAGGCATATCTAGACAACCTTCCATTTAAGGTAAGTTAACAAGTAAAAAGAGCTGAGACTCACACAGGACCATGCACATTAGAAGGGTGTTGAAATCAGTTTTAGTTTTTTGACGGGCAGTAAAATTGCCCTCCATCTTAAAGAACAAAATAGGGTGAAAACAAATCACGTGTTACTCCTTCGCTCCAAAGCAAAGTCAACGGCCTATGCTCTAAAAGGTAATCCATTTCAGACAAAGGTGGTGCTAATTCTAAAAACATCACCAGGAAAACTGACCTTGAATGCTATTAGCCTTCACGAGGTGGGCACAGTCCATCAGCACTTCCTTGGGAATGTCTTCTATACTCTCTCCCTGAAACACAAAAATAAACCAAATGGTCCACACCCTCATTATCAAGTGATGCTGGAGCAACCAAAACACACTTGCTGCCTTACCTACGAGGCACGATTTCATTTATAATATAAGCAGAGGCTCTTCAATTGTATTACACGACACTCAAAAATGCAGTAAATTTACGTAGCCATAGTAATGTTTATTAAAACTAAGAAGCAATAATAAGAGAAATACTGACACCTGGTAAGTAAAAAAACCATATGGAAGAAAACTGCCAAATACTAATAATTACGACTGGAGGTCATCTATCCTCAACCTTAATCAGGAAAGAAGTTCTTATTTGTGTTTGATCTTAACCATTCACTGTAAGGGAGAAATAACATTCATTCTTCTTCTCAATAGAAACATGTATCAAAATCAATGAGTACGGGAAGCAATTCTAAAAGAATAAAAACATTTCAGAGGCAAGAGTGCACAGGAATCAATTTAGCACTGCCTCTTATCAAATATGGGAAGTATATTAACAGAACACCTCAGTATGGGAATAGAAGAGTCCATCTAACTAAATATCTGAGCTAAATTCACTTTAATCCATTATGTTTCTAAATTTTTTTATCTTAAATTGAAAACTCTTCAATACATACAGTTTTACAAAAAATAAGTCATCTGAGTGAATAAACAAATGGAGGAGAGAAAAATCTTCCTCCCTGAAGAATTCCAAATAGTACATGTAGACACCTCCCACTTGAGGAAATGGATCTTGATTTCATGCTCCATTCCCTTGAGTATGGGCTGGACTTAGTGACTAGTTTACAGGTGACAAGGTAGGGAAAGGGAGAGAGAAGCAACTATATGGTGGAGAAACCTGGCAAACACTGCCCTGGCCAGCAATCAAGGCTCACATCATCAGCAATGAGTAATGTCAATTTATGCACCTCCTAAAACAAGGTGATGAGAAGGGCACTTCACCTCTGTGGCATTCTTCCCTCCAAACCCACAACTCCAGTCTAGTCATGAAGAAAAGATCAGATAAACCCCAATTAGTGACGTTCTACAGAACACCTGATTAGTACTTCTCAAATGTCAAGGTCATGAAAAACAGAGGGAATGAGAACTGTCACAGACCAGAGGAGACCCGGCAGGCAAGACACCCCAATGTAACATGGTACCCTAGACTGGATCCCGGAACAGAAAGACGACACCTAGGGGAAACGAGTGAGATCAAATGAGGTCTAGAGTTTAGTTAACAATGGGCCCAGGTTAGTTTCTCAGTTTTGACAAATCTATCATGTTAATGTAAGATGTTAACAAAGGAGAACCTGGGTGAAGGGTGTATATGAGGACCCTGTACTATGTGTGCGACTTCTCAGTAATTCTAAAATTATTCCAAAGTAAAAAGTTGACTAAAGAAAGAAATACACACAACAAGCACGTGTACCCTGTGATTAAACTATTAATACATAAAACACAAAGACAGACTGGAAAAATAGTGCTACTGTATTACTAGCGGACATTAACATTCTTTCCTTTATTACTATTACCCTGCTTTAAACTTCCCAAAGAAGCCCCTGATAACTGACAACTGGGAATATCTGTCCTCAGTCAGCAGGAGCCCTGAGCAAAAGGAACCACACAGGATGTCCACTGGAGAAGACAGGCCAACATCTGAAAGGCAAAGAAAGCAGAGACGACAGCCCACCTGAAGCAGCAGGACCAGGCAGTGATTCCAGCCAGGAAATAAGTACTAGGCCCCCTTCTAAGTCTCAGAAATCACCCAGAATTTTTCACAGTGATCTTCTGGGTCACAAGAAGAGAGTTCTTCATTTACTAACTTTCAGACTTTCATATACCTTTATGGCTTTAAGCAATTTAATGGCAGAAAAGGGATTAAAGAATAAGATATGATGGTCATCAGAAAAAAAAGGTCATTAATCCATGTTTAAATTCAGTTACCTTATGTAATCGAAGGTACACATGAGCCGAAGAGAGTTTGTCCACATGAAACCTACAAAGGATGAAAACCACTTTTAGCAAGAGGTGCAAGACATCCATCTCTTCAGGCCACTGGCATTGAAAGCATTCCATTCCAAAAAGTATGTGCCCAGTGCCAACCACTCGCTAAGCACCACAGGGAGTACAAAGCACAGTTGTCATCTCCAAAGGGCTCACTACCAACCTAAGAGGTAAGATAAACATCGAAAGTTATGCAGTTGTGTGTGGTTAAGTGCCAAGATGAGTGGAGATAATATGGGTAAACATTAAATGTGCCGGTTAAGGGTGATTTCCCAAGTGATAAAAAGAGCTATCAGTGACCAAAGGCTTCTTGGAAGACCTGCGATTTGGCTGGTCCCTGACCGAAGCACAGTACTGAATTTCAGGTGAGAAGGAAAAGGAATTTCAGGTGAGAAGAGAAAGGAGTGAAAGAAGTCAGTGAGACGCCAATGTTGCAAGCCCAGGAGATGTGCAGAACCACGGTCTGCAGGAAAAGATGAGGGTTTTGTCTGGGACATTCTGAGTTTCAAGCAATGGCAAAACAATACAAACAGAAGGTCAAGTACAGAGTTGGAAGAGGTAGGTCGGGCCTGATGACACTAAGCAGAACACACCAGTAAATGGGCCACCCCGACAGCTCATGTAGCCCTATATTCTGACGGTGACACTAACATGCATCTTGTGGGTGAACACTGCCTTTTATGACCCTGTCCTAAAAACTTTCAGCATGCCCTTCATCCCAACATAGTAAACCTTCCTTTCATTAGGGCTCCATCGACCAACAATTTAACTGAATCTTATAAAATCTATGCAACATTATGAGACATGAAGACTCTTTTTGTTTACAATTCACCAAATGAAGTGGACTTTCTCTCTTTCCAGTACCCAAATGCCCCCCAAATCCTAGCATCAAACAATGGACAAGGTAACACAGATTGTCACCTTGTGATTCTGTTAACTTTAGGCTTACTGCTTCCTTAGTCCGTCCCTTTCCAGACTGAAGAGTGTTCAGTATAATCCTAAGGAGACTCCATCATACCCCATTATGAATTTCTCTAGACTTTTTTTTTGGCATTAATGAATTCCTTAGAAGTGAAAGTGGTGACACACTCACATCTGGTACAAGATATGGTGGACGGTATGTCTAAGTGGTTAAACATCTTGCTATTCACTTTGGACACAGAAAAATATTTTGGCAAATAGTCTAAGATGATTGTAAGTTTTATTCTTAATCATTAATAGCCAGAAATGGATATAACATCTTATTTATGTTTCTCTAAGTGGTTTATTTACTCATTTACATTCCCACGTGAGAGATTTATAATAATTAATCACCTTTATCTGGGCATTTTTCCACCAAGAAAAGAAATCTGTTTTTCACAAATCTGAAAATTACATCTCATTATCTTCTTCCAGAATCTTAGGGAAATAACCACACTAGTAACCAAGCTCAGTTGAGAACTAACTTCTCTCACTCCAATTTCTACTTGCTTTAAGCCCATTCTCTATTTACCACTCTTCCCTACATATCTACAGTAGCTATTTTATTCTGATTCTTCTTAAAGCCCTCTGATATAGAATACTGTCAAAAGAAATAGCCAAATAATTCAATCTATATCTAATGAATTCATATGTAAACGAAGAACCAAAACACACCCAGGAATACGACTGCTCACATACACCAACTTTACACGTACACCTCTACAAAGGGCAGGGGGAATGGATGAAAGTATGGGGCTTTGGTTGAAATGTTAAAATCCAGCTCTATGAACAATCTTGAGCAAGTTTCCTTTAAAAACAAAACACAAACTTGCCAAAGCTCTCAAAATGCTTACTCAAGGTTTAGGGTTGACTGCTAGTTCTGCCTATCCTTCTCCTCTTCAGCTCGCTGCTTACCCCATTACCCGACTGCCAAAGATACAGAGATGCAGGATCCAATAGCTGCACTGTGTTAACTCCTTAAGTGGGGTATGTGGAAATACCACTTATCAGGGGTGGTGTAGGCAGTAAATGCACACTATTTCCATTTTCCTTCATTTAAAAATGAATTTAGTTCCATTCACACATAATCCTAGTGAAATCCTTTGCTTAACAGAGCCTTGGGGGTTTACCAGGACAAACTCAGATGCTAACATTCACAGAGGTAACATTCCAAAAGTTTCAATCAGAGTGAACATACTCCTAAAAGGACCTGGGTCTAAGTGGTAGGAAAAGTCTACATGATGTTCTCAGGCTTGTGATCACACCCCAAGACATCATTCCCAATTTACATGGTAATTGTAAATTAATGGAATTGGCAGTCAGCTATTTACCACGGGACACCCATAAGTAAAACTATAAAGCCCAAGTGCTAGTTTTCATCATAGCAGTTAGGGGTTGGCCAATTCTAAAAACATAAATGATGGTACACATAAAGTAGAACCAAAATTGTTACTTACCAAATATCTTCAGGCCAGCCATACTTTATCAAATCTTCATCTACAATGAGATACAAGAGAATAAAGAAAAGATGAGAAAAGCTGTCAAATGAATATGCACCAGGGTTTACAACAAATTAAGATGGGGAGAAATACCAACCCCTCCCTTAACTTTTTCTTTCCCTTAATGAAGAGGAAAGTAATTCAGAAAGGCCTTAATACTTGAGAGTATGGAAAAATAAAAATACTTTTCACAATTGAACATAAACTTTAATTTTTGTAATACTTCTAAAGTTCAAAGATACTTCTATTTGATGATAAAACACTAACAAATCAGAGCTGCTGAGAAGTTATGTTTTAGAAGATCATTCACTGTAATAGTTAAATGTTAAAATGGTTTCACTGAAACTTTTTTTAAATAGTTTTCTTTAAAACCTTAGTTTGTCTACAAGTTTTGCTGAAACTTAAAGACAATGCATTGTATTTTACTTCTTGAAGAAAAAAATAACCCTTGGCTTGAAAATTATAGGAAATTAAAACCAATAACATTAGAAGTATAAAAAGAAAATTAAAATCACCTAGAATTCTACCACACAGGGAAATAAAAACCAGGAGAGATATCTTCTCAGGAGGTAGAGGGTAAAAGATGGGTACTGGAAAGGATGAACTAGGGAACTGATGCTTTTTATTATTATTATTATTTTTTTTTTGAGAGAGAGAGTTTCACTATGTCATCCTCAGTAGCATGCCATGAGGTCACAGCTCACAGCAACCTCAAACTCTTGGGCTTAAGCGATTGATTCTCTTGCCTCAGCCTCCCAAGTAACAGGGACTACAGGCGCCTGACACAATGCCCGGTTATTTTCTTATTGCAGTTGTCGTTGTTTAGCTGGCCCAGGCCAGGCTCAAACTCACCAGCCTCAGTGCATGTGGCTGGTGCCATAACCACTGTGCTACAGGCACTGAGCCTGATGCTTTTCTATTACTATGTCTTTTTAAACTATGTATTAGATAAAAATTTCAAAAGTTCTTTGGAAACAGTAACTACCCAATTCTATCATATGGAAAACATTTTTATTGGGACCACTGGGTTGTTTCTAATTATCAATAAATATTTTTAAAATGAATATGCTCATATTCCAGATTATTTAAGGTATATTTCTAAAAGTTAAAATATTACTTCAAAGAATATGCACATTTTTAAAGCTAACAACATATGACTACAGAGAGGTTCTATCAACATATACTTCTAATAGCCATATTATTTGTAGGCTAAACAAAATTATTCATATATGATGATTTAAAATGTACCCCCAAAATACAGTCTACATAATTTGTTTTTTTTTTTTTTTTTTTTTTTTTTTTGAGACAGAGCCTCAAGCTGTCCCCCTGGGTAGAGTGCCGTGGCATTACAGCTCACAGCAACCTCCAACTCCTGGGCTCAAGCGAGTCTCTTGCCTCTGCCTCCCAAGTAGCTGGGACCACAGGCGCCCGCCACAACGCCCGGCTATTTTTTTGGTTGCAGCCGTCATTGTTGTTTGGTGGGTTCGGGCTGGGGATTCGAACCCACCACCTTAGGTGTACGTGGCTGGCGCCTTAGCTGGTTGAGCTATAGGCGCCGAGCCCAGTCTACATAATTTGAATGGGATGTTTATTGCCCAAAGGATGACAAATCTCAAATGAAGGCAATCTTAACAGATGTAGACCCATGAGTTTTCTGAAGGGTTTTCTACTAGCTTAAGGGACTTAAGGGACTGAGCAAATAGCCAACAGGTAATTGGAAAAAGGAAAGGAAAATATAAAAACCTCTTTTCCTCAGTCAGGCAACATTTGGCTCGCTGATGACACCTGCTGGCTAATAAAAAGAACAGACCTGAAAGCTTTTAGTGTAAGCAAATCAAGTAAATTGTTCTGTTTAAAAATCACTTATGGATCTCTCCTCCTGCGTCTGAAGCCACCAAGCCTATCAGAAATAAGTGATGTAGTAAGGAACGCCACAGAACAGGGTGCTTTAAAATTCTTAGGAGACAGACTAGGAAAAGGCGACAACTCCAAATGACTCCAAGCTTCCTGGGGAAAAAAATGTTCTATACGTAACATTTTTTCTACAAGTATTTTAATGACAGCAGAACACCACTCCAGAGGCCTCCAGACATCATCTAAATTTACATCTGTTATATAAATACTGTATCTAGATTTGTATCTGTGGATATAAATTCCTACCCTAGACATTTAAAGGATCCCACCCTCTAGCTGGTCTTAATCCACTCTTCTACAGGAGCCTTCCCAGCAATCCCCAGTCACATTTACCCTCTCTGACCCCTCTACCTCCACAGCATTTGCTATTCAAATTACTTCACTTTGCTTGTACTTTCAATTTTTTTTGTAAAGACAGAGTCTTGCCCTGCTGTCTAGGCTCAAGAGCAATGGTGCAATCACAGCTCACTGCAGCCTCCAACTCCTGGGCTTAAGTGATCCTCCTGCTGCAGCACCCCAAGTAGCTGAGATTAAAGGCATCTGCAACCATACCAGACTAATTTTTAAAGTTTCTGTACAGACAGGTAGAGACATTGCTCAGGCTGGTCTGGAACTCCTGGCTCAAACAATCCTCCCACCCTCAGCCTCCTAAATGCTGAGATTATACATGTCTAGCTATGTTTTTTGTTTTTTTAACAGACTTTTAAAGAGCAGTCTTAGGTTCACAACAAAATTGAACCATACTTGTTTCTGTGAGAGTCCACCTGACTTTAGTGAAAGTTTGGATTAAATCTTCCTCTTTAGATACTTCACACAGGCTGGCAGATGGCCCCACACAGACAAGCCCAGAGCAGGCAGTAAACTAACACAGGACACAGAGAGACTGTCACTGACACAGCTGCCTTAGGTCAGTACCACTGCTGGACCACCTGTGTGAATCAGAATCAAGCCAGCCTTTCATTGTAAGAAACAAACAAAGCCCCATCTCCCAGGGTGCAAAAGCTACACACCCATGTGCGGGAGCTCTGTGTCAGTACTTCTCAGTAATCTGCCTCTGGGGTTCTCACCTTTGATGTGGTAGAAAAAGAGATTAGGTCAGAAGATTTGGACTCACATCCATTGTAGATAACTAGGACTTGTTACTTTGCCCTAATGTTCAATGTAACACAGGGAGAAAACATCACTCCTTGGCTGTATCAGTATTCTTTAAGAACAAAAATTACCTACGATGAGGCTCAGTGCCTGTAACTCAGGCGGCTAGGGTGCCAGACACATACACTGGAGCTGGCCGGTTCGAATCCAGCCCAGGCCTGCCAAACGTCGACAACTACAACCAAAAAATAGACGGGCATTGTGGCGGGCACCTGTAGTTGCAGCTACGTGAGAGGCTGAGGCAAGAGAATCGCTTAAGCCCAGGGGTTTGAGGTTGCTATGAGCTGTGACGTCCCAGCACACTACCCAGGGTGACAACTTGAGACTATCTCAAAAAAAAAAAAAAAAAAAAATTACCTACGATGACTTATGGGTTAGTAGGAGAAATATAAAACTCATGTGTTAATATGCTGCAGGCTATTTCACCATGAAGCCACACCCCAATCAGTGTCATAAATTCATTATCAGGAAAAAGTGTTCTTTTAAACTTTACTTCAAATTCATTAGTGCACCAAAAAATTAGTGTAGCACACTGAGACTATCTTTTTCAAATGAAATAAAACAGAAAATGTGGGATAATTTCTATTTATTCTCTGTAACAAATAATACGGGTAACTTATATAAATTTTTGTTCTAGTTATATAAATGTATACATGAAAATATAATGTATTGCACACTGAGGAGTGATCAAAGTTTGAAAAAAACTAACAATTCTTGACTCAAAAAGAAAAAATTTCCAATAATTTTTAAAATGGTTGGCTCGGCGCCTATAGCTCAACCGGCTAAGGCGCCAGCCACATACACCTAAGGTGGTGGGTTCGAATCCCCAGCCCGGACC